TTTCAGTATAATTTATATTGGAAAATTATTACACAGTTTTGGAACAGAATTTGCAATGTATTTGATAACACGGCAGCGTGAGCAGCCACCAGCGTCCCTAACTAGAGTCTAACGAGAGTTAGGTTAGAACATATGAACACCGACAAGGAGCTAAGAGAGGCTGAACCCTGCTATGGAACCAGGCCTAGATGCTCTTAGCTTACTATCGTCTGCACAGTGAATATATCACTGTTGTTGCAATGGTTGCTTAACAGTACACAAGAACGAAGTACAAATGTATATATTTTTTACTCCTGTACGTTTATTTATGGGAAGAGCTACGTCTTTCTTAAATATACAGACGTTTATAGGTTTAAGACGTATGTGCAAGAGTTAGGTATCTATTACAGTAACGTTTCGCCTACACAGTAGGCTTCTTCAGTCGAGTGCAGAGGTGACTAATAAGAAGACAGCAGAAACAGTAGAGAGGAAAAGATGTGACCAGTTCATTAGCCTTGGAGTAGTAGCAGTTTGAGGTGGTCCCTCAGCCTGGAAAGATGTTCAGCTTCATAGTTGTGAACACTGTGAAGACATTGTTCAAGACTATGAAGCTGAACATCCCTCCAGGCTGGCGGACTCATCACAGCATCTTTACCTCTCCATTGTTTCTGCTGTCTCTATACTCGCTTATTCTGTATTCGACTAAAGAAGCCGACTGTGTAGGCTTAACGTTCTGGAAATTAAAGTAATCTAACTGTTGCGGATATGTCTTACTCATCTGTCCGTCGGTATTGTTTACCATTATTATAGTAATATATTACAATAATATTAGTAGAATTACTGACAAATTAATGCGACATTTTATTGTGATGAAGCTCCTGGAGGGCGAAACATTGTCATGGTCCTCCTTACTTCTTGTGTTGGTTCAGTTCCCCCAAGTCTCTCCATATAGTCTCTTTCCCTCACTTCCAGTATCAGTCTCACTGTAAAACTTCGCATCTTTATCTGCTTGTCAGGTGTTTGATCCATCCTTGTACACAACGTACCTTGTGTATAATGTTCTACACGATTCCTTGTTCAGGCTCCTGATAGTTCTGTGGTTAGGTAGCTGGTGCAGGGAAGGTTATACGATTTGTGTGTTCTGGTGATATGCTTGGCGCAACGATTCCTCCTAGATCTTTCGCTTTGCACAATGTTTGCAGCATCTCTCCTTCCAGTTTGTTTTCTTTTTACAGTTTTCTCGCTCATTTTTTTTATTACTATGTATTTATCATGAAAGATTTTAAGTGGTCACCTTCTTCACGGCATTTTTAGCCTGTGCCAATATTCTAGGTGTGTCTTCCTTGTGTGTGTGTGTATACTCACCTAATTGTACTCACCTAATTGTGGTTGCAGGGGTCGAGACTCAGCTCCTGGCCCCGCCTCTTCACTGATCGCTACTGGATCCTCTCTCTCTCTGCTTCCTGAGCTTTGTCATACCTCTTCTTAAAACTATGTATGGTTCCTGCCTCCACTACTTCACTTGCTAGGCTATTCCACTTGCTGACAACTCTATGACTGAAGAAATACTTCCTAACGTCCCTGTGACTCGTCTGAGTCTTCAGCTTCCAGTTGTGACCCCTTGTCCCTGTGTCCCCTCTCTGGAACATCCTATCTCTGTCCACCTTGTCTATTCCCCGCAGTATCTTGTATGTCGTTATCATGTCTCCCCTGACCCTTCTGTCCTTCAATGTCGTCAGTCCGATTTCCCTTAACCTTTCCTCGTACGACATTCCCTTGAGCTCTGGGACTAGCCTTGTTGCAAACCTTTGTACTTTCTCTAACTTCTTGACGTGCTTGACCAGGTGTGGGTTCCAGACTGGTGCTGCATACTCCAGTATGGGCCTAACATACACAGTGTACAGTGTCTTGAACGATTCCTTATTAAGGTATCGGAACGCTATTCTCAGGTTTGCCAGGCGCCCGTATGCTGCAGCGGTTATTTGGTTGATGTGTGCCTCCGGTGATGTGCTCGGTGTTATGGTCACCCCAAGGTCTTTCTCCCTGAGTGAGGTCTGTAGTCTTTGTCCACCTAGCCTATACTCTGTCTGCGGTCTTCTTTGCCCCTCCCCAATCTTCATGACTTTGCATTTGGGCTGGATTGAATTCGAGAAGCCAGTTGCTGGACCACATGTCCAGCCTGTCCAGGTCTCTTTGCAGTCCTGCCTCATCCTCGTCCAATTTAATTCTTCTCATCAACTTCACGTCATCTGCGAACAGGGACACTTCAGAGTCTATTCCTTCCATCATGTCGTTCACATATGTCAAAAATAGCACTGGTCCTAGAACTGACCCCTGTGGGACCCCGCTCGTAACAGGCGCCCACTGTGATACCTCTTCACGTACCATGACTCGTTGCTGCCTCCCTGTCAGGTATTCCCTTATCCATTGCAGTGCCCTCCCTTTTACGTGCGCCTGTGTGTGTGTGTGTGTGTGTGTGTGTGTGTGTGTGTGTGTGTGTGTGTGGTGTGTGTGTGTGTGTGTGTGTGTGTGTGTGTTTATGCGTGTGTATGCGTGTGCGTCCGTGTACTCACCACCTAGTTGAACTCACCTAGTTGTGGTTGCGGGGGTTGACTCACAGTTCCTGGCCCCGCCTCTTCAACTGGCCGCTACCCGGTCACTCTTCCCGCTCCGTGAGCTTTATCATACCTCTTCTTAAAGCTATGTATGGAACCTGCCTCCACTACATCACTACCCAGGCTATTCCACTTCCTGACAGCTCTGTGACTGAAGAAATATTTCCTAACGTACGTGTGTGTGTGTGTGTGTATGTGTGTGTGTGTGTGTGTGTGTGTGTGTGTGTGTGTTGTGTGTGTGTATGTGTGTGTGTGTGTGTGTGTGTGTGTGTGTGTGTGTATGTGTGTGTGTGGTGTGCGCGCGCGTTTGTGCCTGTGTGTTCGTGCGTGCGTTTGCGTCACACCATCTAGGTGGAACTAGTTTGAGCAGCAGGTAACCTCGGCCGAGCGCTGGTCACTCACCTGGCGGCGGCCTATGGCACTTCTGCAATTACTGTACTCACCTAGTTGTGGCTGCAGGTTTTCGAGTCTCAGTTTCTGTTACCTCCGTCTCTTAACTCCATTTAACCTGTTCCACATGTTTCCTTAAAACTGTGGATAGGAAGGCACAAGGGTGTGGAACTTCATATTAATGCAAACCTCTCCGTAAACACAAATCTCACGCGTTCTGCGATGAATGACTTTTATGCGACACTTGGGTGTCTTTATTACTGAAACGTTTCGCCTGCACAGCAGGCTTCTTCAATCAGATACGGGAGAATTTGACACTGGAGACAGTAGAAGCAGTGTCGCACACTTGTCTTATTCATGCGGTGTTATATAACCATCAGTAATGTGTGTGACAATACAGTGGTTGTGACGGTGGCAGTAATTATATCCAAAAACTTGATCCAGGGAATGGGTGATACTCTGGATTAATTCAAGGAAGGTAATATAAAAACCTTACCGCAACATATGTTGAAGTCTGCAAGAGGAAAGTGCACAGCTACCCCCTCCAACCAGAGGACCGCTAACAGCATCAGTAATACTCTAAATAATAGATCCAGGTTGGATAAACTTAGATTTAGAAAAGATTTAGGGAAGTATGTATACAGTGACAGACATACAGCTCTCGGTGTATATATTCCTGGGGCCTCTCACTACTCTCATCCTCACACCTGTTCCTACCTTCATTACCACTATACACACACTTGTGTCTTCCACCACTCACCCACCTATACCTGCTACTTCCACCACTACACATTACATCATACACAAACACACACACACACACACACACACACACACACACACACACACACACACACACACACACACACACACACACACACACACACACACACACACACATACAAACACACACGCAAACACACACAACACCTGCTACCTCCACCACTCATAACACTCCATTCATTCACTCACTATAGTTCAACTCTATAAACCAGTCACATTATTTCTGACACTTATTTGAGCTACACGTTACTGAAAATACAATTATTCTCCTTAGGAAACTTTCCATCCTCGCACGTTCACCAGAAGGGCTGTTTTGTTTCAGGCTTTATTGTTCTAGTCCCTCATTGAAGGCAAAGAGGAAGTCGTAATAGTGACCAATGCTCTTGTGGCAACTGCTCATGTCTTCGTGAGTTTCCTTGTTGTCTGGTCAGGATCAGTAGGTGAGCCAGGAGTGTTTGCTCTTCCCTCGGTTGAGTTATGAAACGCGTTAACGGAAGATCACTCGTGAGCTAGGAGTGTTTGCTCTTGCGTTTGCTCTTCCTCGTTCATTTGCTGCTTCCGGAGTGTAACAAGGCAAGGGGTGTGGTTGGTCCTTGAGTCCTTACTCTCTGACACCGTTCGCCGATTTCTCACACTTAAAAATTAAGCTGCAAGTTATGTAAAATGTCGGATATACGTTAATGTTAAGAGTGTGAGTAACATCCGGAGAGCCAGCAGGAGTAACGCTCCTGTTCGGTGAGTAGCCGGAAAGTAGCGATAAACAGGTCCCGTGGGCCAGCTGGTCCGCTGTGTTGTTGCTGGCTGCAGGAGCACCCGCTGACCATGTCCGCGACCTGCTGTGGCCTGGCCCTAAGTGTAGTCACCTGTTATCTTCACTCTGATATCCCCCGTTGTATAATACAACACGGCTAGCCCCACACCGACCAATCATAACCTCAATTTGATGACACGTCAGTTGTGATAGGATGCCTGGCGCTCAGGTAAAACGTGACGTCACTAAAGGTGGAATGACGTCATAGTTCTTTTATTTGCACTAAATCACGTAAATATCACACATTTATGCGAGCATTCCGTTTAATATAATGCCGATAGAACCACAAAACCACACGGGTATGCATCAGGACATGTCTTCTGGGTACATAGTGAGAGTTAAAGGAGTTTCCGGCACAAGATAGAGGTGGAGCTTGTGTCTGGGGGAGGAGCCACAGGACGCAAGAGATAAATACGGTGGAGAGGCCACAACTTGAGTCCACTCAGGCACTGTAAACGGTGATAGTGTAGTCGCAGGCGTCGACTGTGTAATCACAAGTGGAAGTTGCGACTCGTGGACACTTGTGAGTCTCAACGCCATGGTTGCTCTAAATCAAGACCCTCCTCCCTACGACGCCCAGGTACACCGCGACACATGTATGCCTAACACACACACACACACACACACATATATATATATATATATATATATATATATATATATATATATATATATATATATATATATATATATATAAATATATATATATAATAATATAATATTATATATATATATATAATATATATATATATATATATATATATATATATATATATATATATATATATATATATATATATTGTGTTTGCATGAGAAGATATCAGTAAAGAAATCGAAGTTTACAAGGAAACGCTGTGGGAATTAGTGAGGAAGATTTGTAACTCCTCACTGAAAGTAGATTGTGCAATATAGCCTCCGGAAGGACGGAAGGACTGCGCCTCTTGGTTGGTTGTTAGGATCTGGCAGGAGTTGTGGAGGGTAGCGCGACGTACCACATGGTCCTGAAGGCTTAGTGTTCCTTTTCGTGTCCACTTGTGTGGTTATTTTTCCGTTATCTGGTGCTCTCTTGTGTTCGCGTTATTCTGTGTTCACATATCTTCCCACGTGCTCCTTCGTATACCCTTTTGAGTCCTTGTGTTCCTTAGTGTTCCTTAATTAATTAGTGTTTCTTTGTGTTCCTGAACTTTCCCAAGTTTTCCTTCGTGTACCAAGTGTTCTTAATGTTTCCCAGTGTTCCTTCGTGCTCCTTAATGTTCCCTACTCTTCCTTCGTGTTTATGTATCTCAGTGTTCCTCCGGTGTTCCTTAATGTTCCCAAGGGTTCCTTCTTGCTCTCTAATATCCTCGTAGGAAACACCCTGACCTCTACTCTTATCCCTTTCGACTTTTCACCAGTTTCTATCTCTCGCCACGATGCTGGTAGTATCCCCTGCGACTCATGGCCAGTTTGTCTCTCGCCACGATGCTGGTAGTATCCCCTGCGACTCATGGCCAGTTTCTGTCTCTCGCCACGATGCTGGTAGTATCCCCTGCGACTCATGGCCAGTTTGTCTCTCGCCACGTTGCCGGTAGTATCCCCCTGCAACTCATCACCAGTTTCCATTCTTTGCCATTGCGATTTGGCGTACGGACCATGATGATGAGTCAAATCTGAAGACTTCCCATTACCCATCAGTCGCTGGTTGACCCCTGAGGGTTTATCACCTTCCCATAATAACTAAACCTTCCAAAAACGAAAGACGAAAACGGCCTCTAAGAAATCGTACTTTTTCCTTTTTTTAAAGTCCCTTTTCAACTGAACTTTTTTGTAAGTCCCCTTTTTAAAAAGGTCTTTTAAGGCCTCTTTCAATATTTTTTAATGCCCCCCCCCCTTTTAAATAACCCCATTTTTAACTGTTCAATTTTTATGACCAGCTGAACATGATGATGTGACCTCTGAAGAACACTGTTTTACTCCCCAGAACACCGTGATTTGACCTTCTTTAGAATGATGGTTTGATCTTTAATGACGTTAATGCAAGAAGATTAACTTTACAAGTCTGGCTCTATAATCTGACTTTGTTATAGTTCAAGGAAGTGAACAAGAACACTTGACTATAATCGATGAAGCTAATTTTGACGAGAATTGATCATGTTTAAAACATTTCACTGATTTTGTAAACGAACATGAAAAAAAAATCTTTAGAATCTATAACATTAGACAATTTTACTCAAAATAAATGTTTTTTAAATAATTATATCTGAATTTTAGTGGGGAAAAATTAAATTTGCTTAAAATCTTGGCCCCCATCTCTTCACTGGTCGCCACTAGGTCCATTCTCTCCCTGTTCTATGAGCTTTATCGTATCTCTTCTTGAAGCTATGAATGGATCCTGCCTCCACTACATCACTCTCCAGATTATTCCACTTCCTGACAACTCTATGGCTGAAGGAAAAACTTCCTTACATCACTGTGACTCATCAGCTTCCAGCTGTGACCCCCGTGTTGTTGTGGTCCATCTCTGAAACATTCCGTCACTATCCACCTCGTCAATTCCTCTCAGTATTTCGTATGTCGTCATCATGTTCCCCTTCCTTAAATCTCCTGTCCTCCATTGTCGCCATGTCGATTTCCCTTAACCTCTCCTCGTAGGACATACCCCTTACCTCCGGGACTAGTCTTGTTGCAAACCTTTGCATTTCTCTAATTTCTTGACGTGTTGTGTGTGTGTTTGTGTTGGGGGAAGGGGAAACAGCACACGCAAGCAATATTACAGTGACACCAACCAACACACTCAGCTGATCACTGTGGCTTGACGCCCACCTATAATTCCTATCGAAGGTCTTATTTCCACTGGAGTCCTCAGTCTTGTCCTCCAGGATGCGACCCACACCAGTCAACTTGCACCCATATACCTACTTGCTTGTTAGGTGAACAGCACAACAGGTGCAAGGAAACACGCTCAATGTTTCCACCCTTGCCTGGGATCGAACCACGTGTATAGCGAGAGCTACACGGGGCATCGTGCAAGTTATATAAATGTTATATATAAATATTTTGCGAAGAATGTGTTGGAAACATGCAAGAAAATGCCAATAAAAGTGCAACAAACAATTCGAATTACAGAATGGGTTACAGAAAGTGGAGCGTGAACAAGTGATGATGAATGTGTTTTATTCTTTGGGCCGCATTTCCGTGTTAAAAACTATCATAATGACAATTTGACTTAATGTTTTGCTCGTCATGTGTCAATACTGCAACCTGAAGTAAACTTTTACGAAGTTTTCCAATGTTGTTCTGGTGCTACTAAATATGTGTACCTATGTATGTATGCATGTATGTATTTATGTATGTATGTACGTAAAAATGCCACATTTACAATCACGCGTTTTTAATATATATATATATATATATATATATAATATATATATATATATATATATATATATATATATATATATATATATATATATATGCCTTCCTTTGATGCAGTACTTTCATTGTTCCTTGATAATGTGAGTAGTCACGAAAGCGCTTGGAATTTCTCTATTCTTTCACAGTGGTTGTTTTGCATATTCTGAAATCACCTGTTTACTGTGATCTTATTGCATATATATATATATATATAATATATATATATATATAATATATATATATATATATATATATATATATATATATATATATATATATATATATATCGTGGCGAAATAGGTAAAACATGCGATTTTGGCTTAAAATAGTAACGCTCATTTTGCTGAATAAGGCAACCGAAAATTTGTGTATGCAATAATGTCGCAAAAATCATTCTGAACCTATCGAAAAAAAGAATTGTTTCATTGTTTTTGCTTATTATTAAATTTTTGTAAACTTATCTAAAATGTATTTAGTTGGATTAGATTAAATTAAATTGCACTTGTTATAATAAGTTAGTTAAGCTTTCTAAGGTAATTTTGGTACAAAATTATTAATTTTTACATTAACATAAATTAAAAAATATATATCTTTAAGCTAAGGAATGTATGAATATGTAAGGAGAGTGTGGAAGAGCTCACAGACAGGCCCGGGAAGGGCGGCATCACCCAAGGTCACCATCTCATGACTGGCCCTCTCTCACATAAACACACACACACACACACACACACAGTCATTACTAATAAGGCTTGTTTAGCTCATCTGTCACACCTCGGATGAGCCTAGCCTCGAGTGGCAGACAGGATTCCGCAGGTGTGAGATTTGCCTCTGCTTCGCTTTGCCCACGATTCAAGCCAAAATCCCTTTGATTGTAAGCTGATCGCTATACCACTGAACAACCTCTGTTTACCTATGTTTCTCTCAGACTCCATGACACTGAATGGATTCTCAACAACGGTAATGAAATCTGTCATCCTGAGATGGGAGGGTTCGGTAAAATATCAGGGATATTCTCAAATTTCATTGGACCAGGGCTGAAGTTAGTTGTACGTGGAGGAATTGATGATGAGGACATCCTCATGCGTAAGAAAGGACAATCAGCAACGTACAAAAAACGGAGACAATGAATCACGAGTGCTTCAAGTTTTTATTTTAGTTAACCTTCATTAAGCTTCACACGTCGCTCTTCGTTTTCTTTGAAGCATAATATACTAAAGAAACTGTGTTCACGTATCACCACAATAATGTGTAGTAGTAAGTAAGTAAGTTTATTCAGGTATACACAAATACAGTTACATAGAATTATCATACATAGCAGCATATGTGTAGAGAACCTGGGATAACCCAAAAAAGTCAGACAGAGTGACTTATTTCCATTGGGGTTAGTAATAGTAATAGTAGTAGTAGCAGTAGTAGTTGTTGTAGTAGTTGTAGTAGTAGTAGCTGTAGTAGTTGTTGTAGTTGTAGTAGTAGTTGTTGTTGCTGTAGTAGTATACTAGTAGTTGTAGTAGTAGTGAGCTAGCTGTTTGCCTGTTATCTTTCATCACAGTGTGTGCAACAAAGGTAAGGTTAACAGGTTTATTCGGGTTTAGGTACACATAAATAGTTACATAAATTATCATACATAGCAACACATGTGTAGATTACCTAGAATAACCCGAAGAAGTCAGACAAAGTGACTTATTTCCATTGGGGTCCTTGTCAGGAAACAAGACAAGTGTTTCCTGATGCGGGTCTTAGTCATATGATGACCCGCCACTGGAGCTTTAGGTCGCCTAACCGAGGCCTTCCGCTGGCTTACCGGTCCACCTCGTTAATGGTTATGATTATAACCATTAACCATACATAGTGTTGAATTCTGTCAGTCTAAGCTGGTAGACTACAGTAGGGATAGGTTAGGGCTATGGGGATATCGTCAAGTATTCCTCTAAGGAATGTAGATGAATAGTTCAGAGAACCGACAAGTTGATAAATTAGACAAATGTGCAACTCTTGGGTATCTTTAATGAGCAAACGTTTCGCCACACAGTGACTTCATCAGTCCATACAACGTTTCCTCATTAAAGATACCTAAGTGTTGCACATGTGTCTAATTTATCATTCCTCTAAGGGTTTAGTAGGTACGGCAGCTTCAAAGGCTTCGTATCACCAGAGCTGGAGTTACTGTTACTTGGGAATTACCATCTC